GGTAATACTGCTGTACGAGATGGCCAACGCTTGAATAAAAGGCAACAGAAAGAAATCAACAACCATAATTGAGATGAGGTGAATTTGTCAAATCACAGAAAATGTTACAAGACCTTTCTCCTTAACAGTATGACAAAAAGCTGCACCCATCAGCCATGACAACTACATAATACAGATACTTACAGCTCCCCACTAGCAAAGTTACCTCATGCATTGGATCATAACTTCTCCTATCAATTATCAAAGACCAAGAATAACATATTGAGCAAAGGCTAGCTGCCTAACAATAACATGATACTATGAAAACATGATGTGATACAAATAAGACAAAAGCACTCCACAAAGGTTAACAGAAGCATCCATTTGAAAGTGGTCTAAGAGGATTTCTCCGGCAAACTTCACATTATGAGAATCGTAAGAGTGTCTAAGAAAATGAAATTCCTAGACTACATCCTAAGATGCCGCAGTTAGTATTGAATTTAGAAGATTATCTGAGCCCCGACGATCAGATGAAGAAACCACAATAAACAAGGATGTTGGGCATATATATAGTGGCCTGGAGAGGATTTGTAGAATAATCACCTCACAAATGGAATACCAGAAGGAACTTTTCTCATATAATCCTCATAGTCAGAACCAAAAAACTGCTTTAGGAAAAACTCCTCATAAGGTATCCTCCCCGAGAAGAATTTCCACACAACAACTGCAAACGCAATGGTTGATATTGGATTACAAAGCATTATTTGAGTACCGATAGACCAGATGAAGAAACCATTATAACCAGGGTGCCGGACATATCTATAGATCCCATGTGTAACCAACTGATGTTTTTCTTCGTGATAAACCTTTATTAGATGAGTGAAGGCTACGCCTGCAGTCACAATTGCCAGCTTCCTTATGATTTCTCCAAGAACAACCAATGCAAGGCCAAAATTACTTATCCACCAATATTCCTTTAAGCCAGGAAAGAAATAGAGTTCAATAAGGTACTCTATCAAGGAGCAAATCATTGCCAGTAGATAATGTTTGCTTATCAAAAGCGACTTAAGAGTTACGTTTGACTTCCCATGAATGGCAAGCGCCAGAATGTACTCAGAAACATGGAAGAATATTATTGAAATGAACATTTGCGATAATTGTCTGCATGCTGTATATCCAAAAAATTCTGCCATTTCACATCAATAAGTCAAACAAACCTCTCGTCAAAATACAAAAATTATTTCAATCCGAGTCACCAAAGGCTAGTATGCATGAAACCATATGTTGCAAATTTCAAGTCCACACCTGAAAATATTGATGAGCTCTGTACAATTAGCACCACAAAATGAGCTTCAGAACCAATGAGAATATCCTTAAAGAATGACATTTCCTGCAAATTTATGTGGGCACCATTAACGAACAAACACATCAAAGGGGATAACAGAACTTAGATTCTATACGTGCATTATACACAAGCTCATTCTCGGGTTTTCTCCAATATCCGCTTATATAATCTACTACTCTATAGAGTCTACAGAGGCTTAGATATCATCCCTTAGCTCTCACAATTTCTCCTCAAACGTCATCAAGGGGATTTTGGGGGCAGTACAAAGCTATAGATAGTACTCTCACTAATAATCAATCAATCAACATACCATGCCTCCAAATCCTTAATAATCATGAAAAACAACTAGTCATTATAGATTAACTATCATGTTCTCCAACGAACTAATATCAACTAAAGGGCTGTATTGGAGAATAACTGAGATAAGGCAACTTAACAAAAAAGTAATACTAGAAATTCAAATTTATTGTTTGAATAATCAGAATGGCTCGAAAATGGAGTTTTATCATAAAGGGGATGGCCTAGTGGTTGCAGCATGTGATTAACAACCTGCAGATCCCAAGTTCCATCTCAGCTGCAACACTAGACAAAACATGTACTTCTGTGCTGGATAGACAACCCCACAGATTACTCAAGGTTCATGCAAGTTGGTCCAAACACCATCGATACAAAAAAAGAAATAAAAGTCTAATTTCATAGTGATAACTGAAAACTCAAAATCATTTCTTTTATGATACGGTGGTGTGTCTAGGCCAGGTTGTGCGCACCTCGACTATTTTACCGGATACCTGCGGATGACGCTGCCCACCAAGACACGGGGGCAGATGGGGAAAAATCAGCTAGTGCTTTTTGCCTCTTCTCTTCTCAACAC